AATATTTTTGATGACTGCCAGTTTCAGTATTAAGAAAAAGAATGAGCAAGTGTGCCTTAACCTCCTTCTCCAGGTCTCTCCCAGTTTTGTAAATTTGTATCATACGTCTCTCTATATACTTGCTTTCCATGCTGAGGAGTCTCAGACTATTGAATTACTACTTGTACAGAAGATGTACGCTTGATCATCCCACATAATACTCTCTGTATTCTGCCAGTTTTAATATATCTCCTTTCAGGTGTGAAGAACTTGCAGGTCTTCCTGATATATTCCAGATTCCTTTGGATTTAAATAGGGACATGGTATTTTCTGTTATGTTCTTTTTTTCCCCACAGTTCTTTTCTTTTTTTTTCCACAGATAATGACTAATAAGCCAACATTTTCTTAGACATATTTGCCATAATTTAGTAAGCATCCAGAGTTCAGGACCCATTGTTATGATATAAAGCAAGAAATGTTTTCCCCATGCATATCAGTTTGCATACATCAACAGTGGATTTCAGTTTCCATTTTATTATCCTGTAACTCAGTGTGGATATCCTTCAGAAATTCCCAATTTGTTGGTTATTCTTTTTTGTTAATATGAACAACTTAATATTAGCAAACATTTGTCATTTTCCTGACTGTAACTCACCATTTGCACACCACAATTATGAATTTCTGGGACACCCAACAACCGTCCATATGGCTCTCTGGTGTGAAAATTTGCCATTTATTCCTATCCTTCCTTCCCTCTCTCCATTCATGATGTGTTTTCTGCAATGACTCTTGGACTCTGCCTTTGTAGAAAAACAAAGCCTGTGGCTTATTTGACACTTCATAAACCCTGCATTTGCTGTTGCTACATAGCTTTCTACAGAACCAAAAAGCATAACTTACTCCATGTGCCATTTTGCAGTTGACCCATTTTGGTGACTTTGAATCCTTTTGAGCTGAAGTGATCTTGAACTTAGGTTTCCTTCAGAGGTTCTGAGAAGAGTGCTTTCCTCCATGGCCAGTGCCAGTGACAACACCATATAAGCACCAATTCTTTAAACAAAAGAGTTACATACTTAAATATGTCCAGGATAGGGGCCTGTAGTCAGTATTTTTTTTGTCTTTAGCGTGAAATGTCTAAAATTAAACCTGGTTTATCTAACTAAAGCTGGTTAATCTAATCATATGTCCCACAAAACTCCAGAAGCCAAAGTGAAACTTTGCTTTCCAAAACCAAAACTATTATAGATTTCAAGCACTTACAGGAATGTTTTAAAATCAAATCTTAAAATAAAGAGGAAAATTTGATCCCACGGGAGCAGTAGCAAAATTCCAAGCAGATTTGCCATATGAATTTCTATCCAGAGAGACTTCAGGATTGGATCAATGGAGTCCAGATTTTCAGTTATGAGACTGGTTGTTATATTATAGCAGGTATCACTGAGATCAGAACATAGCCACTGAAACATTGCTGTCACATTTAGACCATAAACCACTCTAATCTTAAGATCCTTACAGCATTTGCTTTTCTATCTTGAGTTGCACACTCCATAAGCTTAAAATACACAAAGCAATGCCTTGTTTAGGGATAGTAGAAATATCAATCACTATATTGATAGTAGAAATAGCAATCACTATATTACCTAGTCAAAATAAACCAGAAGCATACGAGGGTGAGATCTATGCCTTTTCTAAGCCTCCATTCCTCTAACACTAACTTTTGCTTCACTATCTTTGGTAGCGTGATGATATGAAGAGTAAACTTGCTTGTCCTGCTTCCATCCATTTCTTCTGTTTACAACCACCCTGACTGCACCCCCTCAGGAAAGACTGAGCCGTGTTTTCTGTGCAGAACACATGAGCAGTTTAATCTGAAGGCAACCTGTTTCTGCATGAGGTGTTTCAGTATAGCAGATAGACAAAATCTAATAGTTACCACAAGAATGTTGCCCTGTTTCATTTGACAAGTGAAAAATGTTACCCTTCACTGGTTTACACCTGCTTTTCAAATTGGAGGAAAGAGTACTATTTAATTTCTCTGCATCCTGTACCATCATCTGGTTTTAAACAGCATTGGGATTGGGTTTGTTTGTATATTGGGATTTTTGGTTATTGGTGCAAAATTTGTGTAGCATTGCAAAGGCTATGTTTAGAGATGAAATACGTAAGAATAAAGAAAAATAGGCATATAAACAAGTTAGAAAATTCTAGTCAAATAGTTAAGTTTCCCTTCCCCTCTGACAGTCTCAAATTAGCAGGTTCTAACCCTCTGTAATCTTCATCGTACTAGCTACAGAAAATAACACCGTCTTTCGGTCATACGGAGTGTAGGCCACTAACTCGGGAGTCACACTAAGCCCTCTGGGCGAATCACCTGTAGCCTAACCTCCCACTCCCCAAAGCCCTTATGGTGAGGAAAACCTGCTGCACACAGCGCCCGTGTAGGCAAATCGCTGGGCATCTCACAAAATCGCTGGGTACTTCACCGTCCCCGTGCATCCCTCCGGGCGATGGGCGAGGGCTCGGCCCTCAACCCCGTCTCGCCTCCAACCAGAAACCTTCTCCCGTCGCGATAGCCCCTGCGCCAGGGGTTGTTATCATGACACCTGCCCCTATTGCCCTGCCGCCGCCCGCCCCTAACCGGGGTCAAAAAGCGGCGGGGACCTCCTGCTTACCGCCCGCCGCGATACCCAGATACCCGGATTGGCCTCCTCACACCAAAAAAAGTTTTGCCGCGATGAAATTTAGACGATTCAGAACCTTAAAACTAACCAGAATCCTCTGACTAATTCCCAGGAGGATTACTTCTTCTGCTTCGGGTTCCTCATCAATTTTGCCCATTAGACCAATGTGAGGGGAAAATGCAGATTCCTTCCTTGGAGCACTACACAACAGTCACATCAAAAGCAGTGGAATATGCTTAAATACATATAGAACTAATATAGAAGTAGTGTTATTCACGATTTTTTGGAGGGCTGCTTTCTCTATAAGCAACTTGTTTTTAGCAGCAGAAATATCTACTTGGATTCCTGCCCAAGATGAAAGACAGAAAGAAAATGTGAAGTACTTTTTCTTTTTCCTTTGTCTTATTTTTTTAATCATTTGTTTCGGCTCAGTATATCTGGTTGCAATACTTTAGAGGCAATTCACCTTCCAGACAGATTCACAAATCGTGATACCGATCCGTGTCTCATTAGTAGTATTTTTTCAGCGCTAGGAATTCTATAATTTTTGAAATTCAGGTGAAAAGACGTCCCCTCACCCCCTCCATACCCCTGCCAGAGCGGAGGGCACAACTGGAAATCCAATAGTTGTTGAATTTCAAGTGGTCAAACAGACCCCAGGAATGTGCGTGGGGGAAACCTTTGACAGACGGTACTTGAGGCCAAACAGGTTTGCTTTTCATAGCAAGTTTCTCTGTCTAGAGGTCCACTAAGAACGGCCGATCTGTCACGCGATACCCTTTCCCAAGGGTGAGGACAGCGACCTGGAGTCTCGGACCACAGTAGGTGCGAGGCATGAGGAGATAATACCGAGAAAGCAGGTCGGATCCAGCACCCACTGAAACCAGTGACAAAACTAACCTGCCTTCCCGATCCTGCTATCGGGATCCGAGCCGGTGCCCTGTCCTCATCCGGAGCGCCGGTGCTTTGCCTGTGAGCTGCGGGCAGTGGCGAGTCAAAGTGCCTCTGTAGCAGGTGATTTACCTGTAAAAGTTTTCTTTCCCTTTCCTCCCCTTGCCTTGCCGCGGAGAAAACTTGTGGGTGCTTCTATCAGTTTGTGGTGACGGAGCGCAGACTTGTGCTACGAACACAGGTTTCTTAACCAATGTGAAAGGCGAGCATTTAAAATAACAGTACCAGCAACTGGCTTTAATGAGCATTGGTGTACAGCAGGGCAGACAGGGTACGGCAGCAATCACTCACAAATCAGCCGGGACTCATCAGCTAGCGCATCCCTCTCTGACTTCTGATGCCTCTGCTTGCACAGACCTCTTGTGTGTTGGAAGGTTGCTTTCATTAAACTGCTTTGCCCAAATAATTTTTAACCATTTTTCCATTGTCTTCCTCCACTTTCCCCCACCTCTTTCACTCTCCGCCCCCACCTCCACCCGCAGGTTTTTGTGTTCAGATTCACGAGGAAGAAACGCCAAGCAACACATATAAAATAGTGGTGTCCGTGAGAGGTGAAAGGTGATCTGAAAAGCACAATCTACGAATCGCCGGGCTGCTTTTATTTTAATGAGAAACTAGGGAACTCGGACACTCACACACGGCTTGAGAGGACAGGTCACGCTTCAGTCCCTTCTAAGGTACTATAGAATAGACTATGACAGTGTGAAGGGGAAGGGTAGGTGGTCGTTAGTCAAAGGAACTCTTCGCCGTCAGTGCCATTGTCACTTAAATTCTCGCTTCTTAGTCGAGTTATTTAAAGCTTATTCTTTAAACAGCGAGCATTACGTGACCTGGGACCCTGCGGCTCGCCAGGGTCCAAGGCTTTGCCCACCTCTTTCGGAGCAAGATCTACAGGACGGCGGGGCAGAGTTTTCCCGTCCGTCGTGGAAGAGGGAAAAGCAGATTTCAGCAGGGGCTTTATCCTTCTGCTCCCCCCAGCCGCCGGCAGATTGCAGCCCCTCTCCCACCGAGCACGGCTTTTGTGGGACTTCCGGGATGGCCGCCCCGGGAGAGGGGCTCAGAGGGTAACCCAGGCTGCATGGCTTCAGGCTGATGGGGTGTCGAGGAGACCTTCCCTCTCTGTCCTTTCCTCGGAGCCAGCCCCTTTGGCCCCAGCTATGATTTTTCACGCCGCCTCTCCGCTACTAATGACATTTAGCGATTGACGATAAAAGCTCTTACCTGCGATCTAGCTCTCAAATAATCTGATTGTACACGGTAAAAATACAGACACCAGCAGGGGTATAGTCATAAGATCGATCGGGTTTCCGTGCCGCATGCATGCTCTGAAGCCCCGCGTCCTTTCGTCTGGGAGCCTGGGGGCCTCTCTCCTCCTCGACCCCCTGCTCTTTAGGAGTGCACCAGGACGGAGTGGAGGGAGCCCTTGCCCTCGGGGTTGTTGCTCGCGGCCTGTTCCAACAACGAAGCAGCGGCCGGGGAAGCAGCAGGGCAGATCTGCGAGGCAGAGACCGTCAGAGCAGGGATGGCCGAGGCAGTGGACATTGCCGGCGCCGGTTTGATGGGCACCGGGACAGCCGGCATGGTCTGTGCCGGCGGGTGGCAGAGCGCCTTCATAGGCACGCCGAAGGGTCCGTAGTCAGGGGACACGGGCACACTGGTCACGGAGTCCATCACCCCCACGTGCGGCCACACGGAGCTCACCACGCCGCTGAGCTGGCTGGGCACCGGGTAGCCCAGGTGGTGCATCACCGAGGCCAGCGGCAGCCCGCCGGCCTGCAGTACACCCTTGTAATCTCTGCCGATGATATTCTCGATGGCGAAGGGATGCTTGAAGCCCGAGGGCTGGCTGCTCCCGTAGGGCGAAAACTGCGGTAGCCTCCCCACCGCTGCAGCGGCCGCTGCTGCGGCCACGGCCGCCTCGGAGCTTGCCAGCCCCGGCACCTTGCCCGAGGGAGGCGGTGGTGGCGGCGGGTGCGGATGGAAGTAGTGCACCATGTGCGGGGTGGGCGCCGGGGGCTTGCCGGGACCGCCGCTGCCTGTCCCGCTGCCGCCGCCGCCAGGCAGGTGGTGCTCGGGGCGCAGGACCTTGAAGCGCTTGCGGCGGCGGAGGAAGCTGCCGTTCTCAAACATGTCCCCACAGTCCGGATGCAGCGCCCAGAAGCTGCCCTTGCCCGGCTGGTCGGGTCGCCGCGGGATCTTGATGAAGCAGTCGTTGAAGGAGAGGTTGTGACGGAGGGAGTTCTGCCAGCGCTGGGTATGCTCCCGGTAGTAGGGGAATCGCTCCATTATGAACTTGTAGATGTCGCTCAGGGGCAGCATCTTCTCGGCCGAGTGCTGGATGGCCATGGCCGTCAAGGAGATGTAAGAGTAAGGCGGCTTTTGGTCGCTGTACGAACTCTTCCCCGGCCTGGGCATCGCCGCCCCGCCACAGTCCTCCCGCGGCCACACGATCCCACCGCGCCAAGGCGGGCACCACTAAGTGTCGCGCACGGCGGACTCGGGATGCCGGGAACGGCGCTGCTCTGCCCCGCCACCGTTTCTACATCCTGGGCGCCACCTCCCCGGGCCACAGGCGATCGTGACCGCCTCGCAGCCGGCCGGCGGGCTCGCACACGGCTCCTTCCAGTAGCCTCACCCCGCGGGATGCTCTTGCCTCGCCGCGCCGCTGCCTGTGGGAGACACAGCTGCTGCCCAGGCCGCGGAGTCTCAGGGGCTACGGGGCCGAGCCCGATCCCTGCCCCCGCTGGCGTCCCCGCTTTCCTCCTGGAGGCCGCTGAGTCTCCTGGACTTCCCCACTGCCGCCTGACACACTCTACTGGAGTTGGTGCTCCTCAGACATGAGCATGAAATTACCCCGGACCTCTGCAGAGATGCTGAGGAAGGAAATATAAACGTCCCTCTCACCGCTCAGTCCGGTGAAAAGTTTGCGGCGGAGGCCAGCGCCAGGAGCCGTCAGGGAGAGGAGGCGAGCGAGGCGGCGGCCGTGGCTGTGGCGGGACTTGCGCGCTCCAGCGCAGTTTTGTAATGGTGCCCGAGCCGGGAGACCCTCGCAGCTCCTGCTCTCTTGCTATCACATGACAGACGCACGGGGACTTGGCGTCTCATGGAAGAGGAGCGAGAAGAGGCTCCCGGCTCCCCCTTCACTCACACCTCCTCAGCAGGGCGAGGTGGAGCCCAGGGGTTGAGAAAAACTCCATGTGAGACCGAGATCTGCTTTCAAAACACAGGGCAGGGAACAGCGGCCCAAGCAGGGAAGCTTTCTCCTCCTCCCTCTTCCACCTCAGCTCCCCCACTACTGCCCCTTTCGCAGCCCCCTTATTATCCACTTTCCTCCTTTTGGCCCCTCGCTCCCGCGCAGCCCGGCTTCCAGCAGTAGGCGTGAAGGGCCTTCAAGAGCACCGCACCACCAGGAGGTGGAAAACGGTAAGAGGTCTTTCCTCCTCCCTGGGGCTAGCGTGCCAAGCACCCCAGGGAAGCGGCCCTCGAGCTAGCCCCGCGTGACAGCAAGCGGGAAATACAGGCCCTTTGGAGTAATCTTTTATCATTCCTGTCATTATGTTTAAGAAGTTACTCAGAGACTTGCAGGAAAACAAGAGAAATGCAAAAAAATCCTACTCTGTCCTCTCCAAGTCGTTAAGGTCAACGACGCGGCTCATAGAAAACGTAGAAAGAACCAGCCAAAGCATCATCTGCATGCTTCGAGACGGGCTACTTAGCGGTAGATCGGCTCATTAGTAGGAATCAACGACAGTGCAACAAACGTACTGCGTTATAGAGGGTAGGCTGTAGATTTGAGCGAGAAACAGGAAAGCCTGCTCTCTTAGCTGCCGCTAGAGTTGAAAGAGACCCTGCTCAACGTAAGCACCTACCAGAGCTCAATTAGCGAGATGCTGGAAGAGTTGCCTGCGTTTAAATTATTAGTCCCACTTTTATTGGTTAAATAAGCAAATAGGTTGAAGGCTCTTTCAACCTGTGTGTGTGTGTGTGTGTGTGTGTGTGTGTGTGTGTGTATGTATATATGTATGTATGTATATATATGTAAGAACTTTTTTGAGCCCACCCTTCCAGACTGGTGCAGCGGGTCAGACTCCACGGGTGTCTGTCCCGCGCAGGTAGAGGCGGCTGCAGCAGCGCTGGGGCAGAACCCAGCCGGCTGTGCCGCCTGCGCTCCGCTCTCGCCGTCGGGGGAGCTGGTTTGAGCATCAGACTTGGTTGTCTGTCTCCGAGTGAGGCGTTGCAGGTAGCGAAGAGGAAGAGTGAGAGAAACCAAAAAGAAAACAACGTTTGAATGTCTGCTTATACTCTCTGCTAGGGGGTCCAAGGAAAACACTGATTTAAAACCCTCCTTCAAGTAATGTGTATTTAGCAGTATTATACCTGATCAAGGTCAGTCAAATGAAGAGCGTAAAGGCAAAGGATCAGAGTAAGTAACCGCGATTTTGAAAGCCAAGTTTTGCCTGAAAGCAAGTGCTTAAAAAAACGTTTCAGATTATTGTTCAAAGCATTCACTGTCCCTCTGAGAAACTAGGAGACACCCTGCCAGCAACATTTACCTCTAGCACCTTGGGGTGCATCTCCCGTATTGCCAGAACGGCGAGAGCCGACATTCCGACATCTTTCCTGATGCATCTGTACATTTCCCCAAAAATATTTTTACTCGTGTTTTACCGATTAAGCCTATCCTAACTGATCAAAATCCTCAGAGTCTAAGTCCTGGATCTTAAAGTCATTGTCTGCCTCACCTCACCAGTTAGTAATCCGGCGTTTTACCCCCGTACGGCAAGTGTGAGGGTTTAGCCTGGTCCTTTCGCACATTAACATCGCAGTTGCACCCGGATTTTATTTTTCACGGGAGAACCGACCTAGACCAGAAGACCAGTGAGACCCGAAATGCACTGTTTGCATTTTTTCTTCTCCCAACCCTTCCCAAACGCGGCCGCTCTCAGGGGCAGTGGTGACTCTCTCTTTCGCCGGGAAGGTATAGTGGAGGCTGGGAAGGAAGGGCCAGTGTCGCCCGGAGCTACCTGGGCACCATCCTCCGGCGGGCACCGCTGAGGGAAACCCGAGGCTGCGTGCCTCCAGCTCTGCGCTCCCGTCAGCCTCCAAGGTGGGACTTCTGCTAAGCAAGGGGATGTCGAGGCAAGCCCGCGATTAACGGGAGCCCTTCCCAAGCTATCTGAAAAGTGCATTCACACACGGGCTAGTTGCTGGTCAGTTAGTATGCGCTTTTATGGGGCAACGACACTGCGGGGCTGCGGTCCGCCCAGCTATTTGTGAAAGCGAGACCTGTTTCTTGAAGCCTCTGAGACAATTAATCAAAAAAAAACACCTCAGGGTATTCGGTCTGACATCAACCAGGCCAGTTCAGATTTCAAGGGGGTAACGTTGTACAAATGATACACTGCTGGCAGTCACCCTGGGTTACTCCAGTCATCTCTGCAACCCTTCCGACGTGGAAACATGGTTTCTCGGGCGCTTTTTTTTTTTTTTTTTTCCAATCAGGAAGTCACTATAAAGTTTTGCTCTCGGGAAGTTACTTCTCTTCCCACTCCTCAGACGCATTCAATTCACGGGCAAAGCTCTACCCTTGGAAGATGGCCGTGACGTTGGTGGAGTGACTATCACCTTTATCTGTCTTACTTTGCATGTCTGGCGCTACATTAGACATACCTGACTTCTAGTTTTGCAGCAGTCTCCCTGCCTTAGTGAAGGTTAAGTTAAAGAGGGTTTTGTTGACATAGGGTAAAAAAAGCTTCATTTGTCAAGGGCTGCACCACTGAGGAAAACTTAGTCGAGCTGCATTTGGTGGACGGCCAGCTTCAAAGCAGGGTTTGGTAAGAGTCAAGCTATGCTCGCTCCTTGACGGGAGAGGTATCTTCGGAAAGGGAAAATGCCTTCACCTCCAGTCTCCTCCTTCAAGCCTTTAGCTCAAGGTCCACGGGTTTCATTGGAGGATTGGCTCTGCTCTTGCATTGAGACAGGTAATGCCAACACAGAGATGCTCTTCCTCTTCTTTGACCTCTCTCTTCGATTTTTAACCCTTTTCTTCTGTCGGTTTCACCTGCTACCTAGTCCTTCTGTTAGTCACGGCTTGCTGGCGCCGATGCTAATTTTAAGGCGAAGCGAAGTCAGGAAGAATGAAGGATAATCCGACTTGCCTTTCATGGGAGGAGGATGCAGCGAAGGATGAGGGCATCCTCCGCTCCCGGGAACGGATCGCTCTCCATGGCGAGAAAATACACCAAGAAAACAGCAGAGCTGAAACGTATTTTTTGGCTCGCTGTTTTACGAAGAGAGATCGGTTGGTCTCTTCAAAGCGACACGTAGGCGTCCACCCACATCTCCCTTCCCAAACTAACCCCACGCTTTCGCGTCTCGCCTCGGCGGAGTCCCGCCGATATCAGAGAGTGGTTTGCCTGCACGAACAGCCCGTGCTGCCAGTGTAACTTTGGAAGTGACCAGCAGTTTGGCAGCAGGAAGTTAGGTTGGGTAGAGCCCAGGACGGCTAGGGCCTCCGTCAAAAACCTGTTGTGGTGGCGTGGCCCCGGCTTAGCCCGCTCTCCTGGCGGTGGTCACGGCGGGGAGATGCGGCTGCTGCTCACGATGCCACCTGCGCTAAAAGGAAAACGCAGGACTGCCGCCTCGGCTGCAAATGTGTGAGTCGACTGCGAGCAGGATGTCCGAGCCGGTTGGTGGGAAGGCCGCGGTCTCCCTGCGACACCCCAGCATCTCCCGCCCTCGGAGGTTCCTCCTCCTGCCCGCGCCGCGCGTCTGGGCACTCAGTACGGGCCAGAGGAGAGAGAGCTGAGCGGAGCCGAGAGGAGCAGAGCGGAGCGCAGCCGAGAGGAGCAGAGAGGAGCCGAGGGGAGCCGAACGGGGCGCGGGGCCGCGTAGGACCGCGGAACACCTGAGCGACCGCCGCTGGAGCTGACGGCAGTCCCGATTCGCGACGTGTGCGAGGTGTAAATGAGCCGTCCTTGGCGGCAGAGCTTTTCGCACTTGCTCTCTCTTTAAATAAAGGAAAGAACATAACGCTACTACTAATAGGAACAACAACAATAAAAACTTTCTCGGTCTCCTGCAAAGAGTAATAACAAAAGACTGTTCATCAGCAGCCAGGTGTCATGGTGCAACTCTTGACAGCAACTGTCTTCCTTTAGAGCCAGCCAGTTCTGGAATACATTATATTAATTAAGTCTTTGGTGATTTAGCCTCCTTGGAGAAAAGTCCAACAATGTAATTAAGAGCATACTGGCTATATTAGATATGAATATTCAAAACAGTGTCAATTAATTAGCCAACAGACCTATCTCACTATGCCTCGGCAGCCCCTTAAGTCTTCTAAGATACATTTAAAGGGTCATCGACAGGAAAAGAAGACGAATAATAAAAAGATGCGTCCAGATGATCTCTGC